CACCATGGTCTACTGAGGGGGAAATCATACAGTGCTTTTTGAGCGTGTGTAGATGATGACTCATCGATTTTCATTTTTAGGTGTACTGTCCCTTTAAGACTCAGAGCTGAACGTCCCATCAGGATCATGATTAACCTGCTTTTTTGTCCTCCCTTGATGTGGTGTGTTAGTTCTTGGAAGGATGGCTATGTGGTGATGCTTTTCTTGATGCTCAGTTTGAGAGGCCTCAGCTCTGTAGAAGCAGCGCTGTGATGAACATGCGTGTTTATTGAGGTTTTCTCTTCTTCAGGCACTGACAGGGGCGATGGGGAGGCCACGGATGGTATTTATACACGTTTATTTCACTCTGCCCCTCCTCCTGGTGTCTCTGTGCATCTGTGTCTCAGCCGTGACCTCTGTGTTCATTATGATCGCAAGAAAAATATTTCCTCCTAGTGTGTCTCTTTTTGTCTTTTCAATGTTGTTTATTCTTTCAAGGGCTTTCACAGCATTCAGAATAGGTTTTGCAGTATGATTAATACTGTTATAAACAAAGCATTACATGGGAAGTTATTGAAGTTTCTCAAATACAACACTCGGTTACACTTTATTTTAGTGTTCTTGTTACATATTTTACATGTACTTACCATAGTAATAACAGTAAATTATGCACAATTACATGCAACTAACCCTCAACCAAACCCTAACCTTATATTAAGTACATGTTTTTAATGTATATTACTCGGTACTTAGATATATATTAACACTGCAACAATGACACCTTAAAATAAAGTGTAACCCAAAACTCTTTTAGTACACTTTTATACTTTTTTTTGTACATTTTAGGGGAAAAAATACTTAAGTGTAAACTCTATTTAATGTTTCCAGACACTTAATTGCATGTTATTTGTGATTAAATTAATATAAATCTAAGTTTAAATTTATATTGTTATGATGTTAGTCAACACATCAAAATAAGTGTGCTTCTTTAAAGCAAGACAAAAGATTAAACAATGATCTAAAATGTACTTTTAATAAACTTTTAATTTACAAAGTGCACTTTTAAAAAAAGTGTACTTAAGAATCAGTCACACTACACTTAAGTGGCCTTTTTTCATTAATATTATCTGCAAGTACAGTTTTTAGTAAGTTTGAAGTACACAACAAGTGCACATTCAATGCAATACATTTTCACCAGGGAAAGCTAGTGTTGAAGTAAATGAATGATGAGATAATTTGGTTGTTTGTCAAATGGTTCTTAGTACACGTTAAATTATTGTGGCCATAAAATGGTAATACAGTAGTGTCACACATTAGGTTGCAGCACAGACGAGGTGAAGCAAGATCTAAATACAACAGTCTTTATTTTCAATTCAAACTCAAATCTTTACAAAACCAAAATAAGCAGGAACAGAACAACCTAGAATATAGACGACGACAGACAAGGAACAGACTGAAACACAGGGCTTAAATACACGTCGTATAACATCAACGGGGGTGGGAGGGTGGGTGCCCTGGAGGCTGACGACGACGTGGCTTACCCAGAGCAGGAAGCCTCCAGGGTCGACAGTTCATCAGCCTCCGTGGCCTTGACCCTTGGCCCATTCCACTATGGCCGGGGACATATAGCAAACAAATTTTCTTGGGAGGAGCTAGGGGTTTATGGACTGGAGGCGAATTCCCTGGCGTGGCGGTGGCTATCTTGGCAGAGGGCTCAGGCGTGGCGGTGGCCATCTTGGCAGGGGGCTCAGGCGTGGCGGTGGCCATCTTGGCAGGGGGCTCAGGTGTGGCGGTGGTCATCTTGGCAGGGGGCTTAGGCGTGGTGGTGGCCATCTTGGCAGGGGGCTCAGGCTTGGCGGTGGCCATCTTGGCAGGGGGCTCAGGCGTGGCGGTGGCCATCTTGGCAGGGGGCTCAGGCGTGGCGGTGGCCATCTTGGCAGGGGGCTCAGGCGTGGTGGTGGCCATCTTGGCAGGGGGCTCAGGCGTGGCGGTGGCCATCTTGCCAGAGGGCTCAGGCGTGGTGGTGGCCATCTTGGCAGGGGGTTCGGGCGTGGTGGTGGCCATCTTGGCAGGGGGCTCAGGCGTGGCGGTGGCTATCTTGGCAGGGGACTCAGGCATGGCGGTGGCCATCTTGGCAGGGGGCTCAGGCGTGGCGGTGGCCATCTTGGCAAAGGGCTTAGGCGTGGTGGTGGCCATCGTGGCGGCGGTCATCTTGGCAGGGGGCTCAGGCGTGGCAGTGGTCATCTTGGCAGAGGGCTCAGGCGTGGCGGTGGTCATCTTGGCAGAGGGCTCAGGCGTGGTGGTGGTCATCTTGGCAGAGGGCTCAGGCGTGGCGGTGGTCATCTTGGCAGAGGGCTCAGGCGTGGCGGTGGTCATCTTGGCAGAGGGCTCAGGCGTGGCGGTGGCCATCTTGGCAGGGGGCTCAGGCGGGGCGGTGGCTATCTTGGCAGGGGGCCCAGCATAGACAGTAAAAGAAATGGACACAGCGACCCCGTTGATTTCAACGGAGAGAGTTGAAGCCGTTTATGAACTCTCTATCTATGGGCTTCTCCCTTGACTTTATACCTCCATGTCCACCCGATTGCCTCATAGACAGTAAACGATTGCCGACGAGCTTCTACTTCTGTCTATACGGTAATTTCTCTACTGTGCGACAGAGCGTCCCGTGGTTATGACGCAATCGTTAGCCTATTTTTACAAGAATGGCTTCTACGGAGCCATAACGTAAGATACAAAGTAATGGAGCCTTTTATACATTGTCGTGTTTTTTTTAGAAATAAACAATGGACAAATGGAGTCTTTGGACGCCTCAGATGTAAAGTTATTCGCTGTCAAAGTGACGCCAAAATGAATGGGAGTCAATGGGATGCTAACAGCAGGTGATAGCCAGCTACAATGGCGGCCCCCGGAGGCAGCTTCAACTTCCGGCTGATGGATTACCCCCTTGGGGCTCAGGCGTGGCGGTGGCCATCTTGGCAGGGGGTTCGGGCGTGGTGGTGGCTATCTTGGCAGGGGGCTCAGGTGTGGCGGTGGCCATCTTGGCAAAGGGCTTAGGCGTGGTGGTGGCCATCGTGGCGGCGGTCATCTTGGCAGAGGGCTCAAGCGTGGCAGTGGCCATCTTGGCAGGGGGCTCAGGCGTGGTGGTGGCCATCTTGGCAGGGGGCTCAAGTGTGGCGGCAGTCATCTTGGCAGAGGGCTCAAGCGTGGCAGTGGCCATCTTGGCAGGGGGCTCAGGTGTGGCAGTGGCCATCTTGGCAGGGGGCTCAGGCGTGGCGGTGGCCATCTTGGCAGGGGGCTCAAGCGTGGCGGCGGTCATCTTGGCAGGGGTCTCAGGCGTGGCGGTGGCCATCTTGGCAAAGGGCTTAGGCGTGGGGGTGGCCATCGTGGCGGCGGTCATCTTGGCAGAGGGCTCAAGCGTGGCAGTGGCCATCTTGGCAGGGGGCTCAGGGGTGGCGGTGGCCATCTTGGCAGGGGGCTCAGGCGTGGCGGTGGCCATCTTGGCAGGGGGCTCAGGTGTGGCGGTGGCCATCTTGGCAGGGGGCTCAGGTGTGGCAGTGGCCATCTTGGCAGGGGGCTCAGGCGTGGCGGTGGCCATCTTGGCAGGGGGCTCAGGCGTGGCTTACTCAGAGCAGGAAGCCTCCAGGGCGGAGCCGGCAGCCTCGGGGCGAATCGGCGTCCGTGGCCTTGACCCTTGGCCCGTCAACTATGGCCAGGGACATATAACCTCCGCCCCAACATTTTCTTGGGAGGAGCTAGGGGTTTATGGACTGGAGGCGAATTCTCTGGCACGGTAGCGGCCATCTTGGACGAGGGCTCTCATAGATAGATAGATAGATAGATAGATAGATAGATAGACAGACAGACAGACAGACATGCAGACAGACAGACAGACAGATAGACATATACAGGATTTGCCTTCGACGGGTCCTGCAGTGAATTGTGGGTACTTGAGCACAGTCTCTGACACAGACAGACAGACAGACAGACAGTGAGACAGATAGACAGAGATAGACAGACAGATAGATAGATAGATAGATAGATAGATAGATAGATAGATAGATAGATAGACAGATAGACAGATAGATAGACAGACAGCGGCTGAGTCTCAGGTGTCTCATGGCAGAGAGTGTCTCAGTCATGCATATATACATGACACATCGCTCTCTCTGTGGATCCACAGTCAGACGTTTGACAGAGAAATGAGCGGGTCGATTCATCATGTGAAAATGACCGTTCGCTTCTCTTCTCTTCTCTCAGTCGTGTGAAAGCCTGTGTTTATCTGGATAGAAACATTTGATGGGTGATTCTGTTATAAATCAGCTAAAATGTTCCTCAATCTTTAAGATTTCTGTTCAATTTAACAACATTATTTTTCCACCATAAAGTTCAGAGTGCTTTTGTGGTGTTTCTGTGATATTTTCCAAATTTAATTTATGTTTCTTAACTAAATAATATGATGCATATCATGTCATTTGAAATTTGTCATGATTTGAATGAGGAATTGCATTAATGAATGATGCATTAATTTTACACCCTTAATGGTTACACTATTTATTTAGTTTGCCTCTTTGCTTTTTATAATAATTTCCATTTTTATGTACAAAAAAATATTTTGTATACGAGGAATTGCTCGATTTGCAACAATTAATAGAATCACCCTAGTGGTCTTGTGATATTGTTTAACATGTATTGACTTTTGTCCCTGTGTTTCTTGTGAATGGAGTCTAACCTATGTGAAGTGTAATAATCGTGAAGCATATAGTGAAGGCTCTTTCAGCAGAAAGCTCATGAATGGCTGATGAGATGGGTATTGTTGCTAGGCAGCACGAGTCCAGCAGTCTCTGATTCGCTGGGTCAGGTGTCTCTACTGAGCGCGCTCAGTACCATCTCAACCAACCCCATGGGCAAACAGCCTTACACTGACTGACAGGCTGGTGTGTGAAACTGTCCTTTCACACTGACCTTTCATCTCATCTCTCTCTCTTTGTCCCGTCTTCTCCTGACGCTATCTCTGTCCAAAGGCGTTCCAGTCAACAGTCGAGTGTCCTCCAAGATCCAGCAGCTCCTAAACACGCTGAAAAGGCCAAAGAGACCCCCTTTACGAGAGTTCTTTGTTGATGATTTTGAGGAGCTTTTGGACGGTAGGTTCATATCACTTCAGTCATGAAACTCGAGATCGGTTCTTTACGTGTAATCTGCTCGCAATCACATCATTCGCTACATGGCACGAGCTGATTGGCCTCTGCTGATCCTGCAGCCAATGAGATGCTTGGTCAACATTTGAATAGTCTGGTTCAGTGTTTGCTGTAGGCTAGTCGTCCTCTGAACCCCTCCACCTCCCCAGCTCCACCTGCCTAGATCTGCTACAGGACTCATGTGTGTCTATTTAAGCAGCAGCAGCAGATCTAACATGCTAACAGCAGCGTGTCTGTGTATCTATTAGCAGTAGAAAGTACATACTTGATTTGCAGCCACGTAGAATTGTGCTAAAAACTACTCGCAACACCTTAGCAACTGCTTAGCATCGTGATAGCGAGATTTACATGACCAGTCACCGCTTACATGTTCTTCAGAGAAAGTAAAAAACCTTTATAACTTGTGTCTCGTGCTCAAGACCTCTACACAGAGAGCAGGCTAATGATATTTACTTTCATTTTATATGTAAGTTTGAACTTGTGAATTGGAATTTACACTTCAGATTGAATAGGTGTCTCTGAAATCCTTGCTCATAACCTTTTGTGATTTAGCCAAACAAGAAAATGCTTTTAAAAAGAAGCTACTGACCCAGGAGACAGGAAAATAACACAGAACTGCATATTTGAAGAAGGCTATTAAAGTTATTTCTACCTGATGTGTGTGTGTGTGTGTGTGTGAGGGGTCGAATGCACCTGAAAAAGCTTGTCTGTTTTATTATCGGACAGGTTCAGTCACACTTCTTTGATTCTCCTAGTATAGTTGTATATATTCACATATACACTACCATTCGAAAACCGGGGTCAGTAAGAGTTTTTTGTAAAGAAAGAAAGAAAGAAACTAACTTTTATTCAGCAAGGAGGCATTCAATTTATCAAAAAGTGACAGTAAAGACCTTTACATTGTTATAAGAATTTTTTTTCAAATTAATGCTGTTCTTTTGAACTTTCTATTCATCAAACAATCCTTATATAACGTTTTCCACACAAATATGAAGCAGCACAACTGTTTTCAACACTGATAATAATCATAAATGTTTCTTGATCATCGTTTTAATGATCAGAGTAACACACTAGTTTACCACATCAACACAAGACAAAGGGCTGAAGAAACGGAGGGCTTAAATACCCAGGGATGGTAATCAACAGAACAATGAACAGGTGAGCACTAATCAGTAACCATAGTAACAAACAAGTGGCGGTTAAACTGATAACAAAGAAAACGAGGTCAAATCAAAACACAGGGACAAGAATTCAGACAAAACACGTGACTATCCACTTTTCAAACAGTTTCTTAATTATTATTTAACTAAACGATGGAATGATAGCCAATGAGATGAGAACTCGGGTTGGTTGTGTGTATGCGCCACCGCCGTACTCTCCACGCCACCTCTCTAACCACCAGTGGGATTTCTCTAGTCATTGTGTCTCAGTCAGACGGTTAGTGTAAACAGCCTCTGCCAACAACACTTAAGTCCATTACTCTTTACTACATGCTAAAACACTCTTCATACCTGTATGCATCATAAATGAGCCTTTTTAACTAATGCAGGTTTTGTTTTGGCTGTTTATTTACACATATGACCAGATTGTAGTGTGCCGCCCGTATCATGTTCATTTATTCAGCCTCTTCTGTGGCCAGTCTCCAGTACAGTTCATCCGCACACTGCTTGAGGGGTTTTAAAGGCATTACAAATAATTGAGAATCCCTCCATCAATCTCACCTTCCCCTCTGTTCACTCAACCCTTGCTTACCTTTCTGAGAAATACTCTTTCATATTCTCTTCTCTTTATATTCTCTCTCTGTTTTTCTTTCTCTTTCTGTTTCAGGCGCACAAAATCAATCAAACCTATTTAAAGCCGTGTCACATCTCATCTTCAGGACGTATAAGTCACCCTGAGACGAGTCGTGTTTAGTGACATTTAAAATCACTCTCACACATAAAGTCTTTCTCAGTGATTTCAGTGTCCATCATGTTTCAGTGTCCATCTCTGTTACGAACTGCTCCGAGACACAAAGTTTGAGATCCAAATCTCATCTAATCTATACACAGGCGAAGGGTCAAGCACAGGAAGGCAGTAAAGACAAACAAACAAACAAACAAATGGGTCAAAGGCAAAAAGGGAATCCTAGAAACAGGCAAAAATGTACCAAGAGAACCAAGAGACAATAAAAAATGTAAAAAAGGGAGAATGCTCAGAAAGGCAGTGTAAACAGCTAACAAAACCTCAAAGTGAATGACAGAGTGAACCAGGCTTATATACACAGAGTTAACAAGGCTATGAGGAATAGCTGATGACAATGATGGTTGATTAGTCCGGGCAGTGGGTTATGGGTAATGTAGTCCGGGGGGAGTGCCCTCTGGTGGCTATCAAGGGCACTCCAACTGTTAATCGTGACCAAGCGTGCTGCACAAGCCCTGGAAAGTGAAGCCCAAGCGTCTCGATCGCCCCCCGGTGGCCGGTCCCAGTATAGGTCATAAGCCCCGCCTCCCCGTGTTATTCAACAGCACATGAGACCAACTAAACAATTAAATTACACTTCAAATATAGTTTTTCCAATGATGGTTTCTGTCATTTACGGTAGTTTTTTCACGCTGATGTAATTTCAAGTGTTTGTTTTTAAAATAAGTTTGTTTTTAGTTAGTTATTTGATGCGGTGGTGTGACGTCATGATTGACAGCTGTGATTGACAGGTTCTCTGAGCGAAGTAGTCACTGAAGCACCAACAGACTTTTTTTCGGGATCTTCGGAGGACTGAGGAGATTGGAGCTTTAAATTTAATATCTAAATTTCTGTAATTATTTTTTAAAAAGTGCCGGAGCGTGTGCTTGCGATTGATTCAGTGAGAGTGGGGGCGGGGCCTTGATTTCGCGGCTTTACTTCCAGCGCATGTCTGGTCCCGAGATCGCCACTGCGCAGACTCAAGGTCCAAGATGTCAGCGCCATATCGGGACACTCGCGGCTTCAGTTCTGACCAATGGAAGAGAGCGAAGGGGCGTCGTCCATCTTTTTTTTACAGTCTATGATCGTGACAGTTACTCTAAGAATACAATACAATAAAAACATACATATAGGAGAAAATTTCTGATTTAATTTACACTGACTGAACCTCTTACTATTAATAAGTATTTATTTATAATCGACATTCATTTATCGCTTTGTCCACCATCTTGTATTTCCATTTTCACAGAGCAGTGCATCTGTCTCTACCTCCATCCTCTTCCTATTCCTCTCCCCTCTTGGGAAACATATAGTCTCATATAGACAGGCGTTTGAATTGTGACATTAAGTCTTATCCACATTACAGCTTATTTTGCTAGGCCAGAATAAGCTGCAATGTGGATCAGACATAATTGTAGTATTACCGTCATTAATCTGCACGTTTACACACACCAGCCGACATTTGGCTTCACTGGCGCCACCAGAGACCAGTTCTAGAGCAACGGCAGAAGATCCAGCAAAGCCTGAAACTGTTCTGTGGTCGAGCACAGGCGACACTGAACACTGCTGACCAGAACACTCACCGCTGTCTTATAAACACCTCAGGAACTGTGGACACTTGTGGAAGAGTTCAACATGAGGAGGAGATGATCAGTGTCACTCCACAACAACTACAGAAACGTCTCCGCTAACATTCAGAAACGTGTAAAAGTGAAGCTCTCTCCGTAAGGCTGCACTCGCTGCTGGTTACTCCTGATCCTGGATCAGTGAGACTGGTGTGTTTGTTATTGCTGGAGTTTCTGAAGCTCGTGTAAAGGCTCCGCCCTCTTCTGAACGGAGGCGGGGCTACAGCTCATTTGCATTTAAAGGGACACACACAAAAAGGCGTGTTTTTGCTCACATCCAAAAAGGGGCGAATTTGACGAGCTATAATAAATGATCTTGAGTTGAAATTTCACACACAATCTGGGGACACCAGAGACTTATAATACATCTTGTGAAAAGCGGCATCATATGTCACCTTTAAAGGAGAACTCCGGCGCAAAATGAACCTTTGGTCTAATTACACATTGTTACCTAGTCAACCGTTATCTGAGATTTGTTTTCATGATTATCGAATGTAAATAGTTTTATCTCTACAAAAAGTTTAGCCTATAAAGCTAGTATAACGCTAGTATATTGGGCATAGTGTAATGACAAATAAAAATCGCTTGTTAATACCACTAAAAAGGCTGAAAATAGCCCCACACTAACACGGTAGCATAATGAGGGTCCCTACCTTCAAACCGAAGCATTGAGAACTTTGTCAGTGTCCAGACAGTTTAATAAGAAGATATTTTAAACATACAGTCAACTTCGCGTATACAGACAGGAGCCATCTTTGAAATACAGTCTTTACCAGTCGATCTACGAACGCCGATCCAAGCCTGCTGTTCGCGCTCACCTTATCACAACTTATAGCTCGTTCACATCTCACCAGCGCACTTGGATCGGCGTTCGTAGATCAACTGGTAAAGACTGTATTTCAAAGATGGCTTCTGTCTGTATACGCGAAGTTGACTGTATGTTTAAAATATCTTCTTATTAAACTGTCTGGACACTGACAAAGTTCTCAATGCTTCGGTTTGAAGGTAGGGACCCTCATTATGCTACCGTGTTAGTGTGGGGCTATTTTGAGCCTTGTTAGTGGTATTAACAAGCGATTTTTATTTGTCATTACTCCATGCCCAATATACTAGCGTTATACTAGCTTTATAGGCTAAACTGTTTTTAGAGATAAAACTATTTACATTCGATAATCATGAAAACAAATCTCAGATAACGGTTGACTAGGTAACAATGTGTAATTAGACCAAAGGTTCATTTTGCGCCGGAGTTCTCCTTTAAGAAATGATTTCACAAACAGAATTTGTTTATGGTATCTAACAGATGTGAGGATTTGATTATTTGCGTAAAGCAATAGCTTTACAATAGTGAGTATATGCTTTGTTTTATTTGTCCCTGTACGTTACAGTCCAGCATCCGGACCCGAACCAGCCGAAGCCTGAGGGGGGTGAGATGCGAGCGCTGAACGGGGATCCGCTCGGTGTGATCACGAACTGGCCTCCGTCACTCCTGGCCTCTCTACAGCGCTGGGGAAGCACACATCCCAAGAGCCCCTGCCTCACAGCACTGGACAACACCGGCAAACCCGTCTACACACTCACATACGGTACGCCTGTGGAGCGACTCAAGCCAGTCATTTACTCAAGAGTGCTTTCAGCTGACACAAGATTATGCTCGTCTTTCTTGAACTAGACTCATTGGTAATGCATTTGTAATCTTTAGTTCATGGTAAAAATCTGGCGAATATACTCTTATGAAAAAAGAAGTGCGCTCAATTGTACTGAATGTGCTTTTTATTTATTTATGTATTTAATTGTACTTTGTAAATTGGCCTCAGAGCACACTTTCAGGACTGTTTCTTAACACACTTAAGTACACTTTTAAAAAGTGCACTGTAATGTCAAATTAAAAGCTTTAATTGAAAGTACAGGTTAAATTGCTATGTTTTAGTAGTCTTTTGTCGTGCGCTAAAGAAGTACGCGGTAACACTTTATTTTACAGGATCCTTTTTACATGTACTTACCATAGTAATAACAGTAAATTATGCATAGTTACATGCAACTAACCCTCAGCCAAACCCTAACCCTATGGTAAATACGTTAATTAATATCACTCAGTACTTACATGTATAATTACACTGTAACAACGACACCTTAAGATAAAGTGTAACCAAGTACACTTATTTTGATGTGTTGACTAACATACTAAAGCACGCGTGAAGTATTTTTACTGTAGTGTGTTATTCGGCATTACAGTTATTTTAAATGTAAATTGCAACTTCATTACAAATGTGCAATTACTAATATATACAATACAAGTTCAATACCAAAATATATTTTAGTTTATCGTAAATGCTTGTCAGTACATTCAGAAGTAACTTTAACCATATTTCAAAGACAATAGAAGTAATTATGAAATTACATATAAAGATGTACTGAAGTCAAAAAACACTAAAGTTCAGCCGATTGCATTTAATCTAAGTTTAAACTATAATACTTTTAATTTAATTGCAATTACCATGAATTTTTTCCATAATAAGTACTCTTTTCAAAAGTATGCTTCTGTTTCACAAGGGTAATCCTGTATGTTTGGACTGTTTTTACTGGTAATGGTGAATGAGCTCTTATTGATAAGTGAACAGAGAGTGCAGGATTGAATGTTTGTGTGTATTATCATGTTTTCACAGGGAAGTTGTGGACGCGGAGTCAGAAGCTTGCGTTTACGCTGCTGAATAAACTGAGCAGCAGGAATGAGCCACTGCTGCGGCCCGGAGACCGAGTGAGTGTGTGTGTGTGTTTATCATCTCTCCATCAGGGCGTCACCGTTGCAAGCGCACAGTGCTGTGTGTGTGGCGGTTCGAATCTCTTATGGTGTCTTTTATTTTGAAATTCTGTCCCGTTTCCTTTTGGTTTTCATCATATCTACTCACCCAACGCACAATCAGTGCATCAGATCAGGGTTTAAATGGTTGTGATTTCGAGAACGATTTGACCCTCTATCATGTTACCAAGATATCATGTGATAGCTAATCAAACAAGTGTTTTCTAACTACTTAGGTAAGCTAGTAGGCTAAGATGTTAGCTTGCTTGCTAGATATGTTTAGTGTTTTATTTATATTTGATCATTTTTAGTTTTAATAATGTTTAAAATATCCAAAAAACACTAGAACAGTGTTGTATATTTAGTTGACTTGTGTACTTACTTTATCCCAAGTGTTTCCAACAATGTTTACATCCAGAGAAATCGGGCTATTTTAACCAGTGTAATGTATACCTGTTCAGGAAAGAAAACGGCGGATGTTAAATGTAGCTTTATTTGTAACACAACTAAAAGAAAGGAGCTGCAGCGGCGTTTTCGGCATATAAGCATAATAAAAACAGCCAGGTAAAATGTCCTCTTGTCTGCCCTGCTTCATACCACAGTAATGTTAATAAAACCTTAATACATTTGCTCATCTATAAACATGATTTGCTGCTCGGTGAAGACAACAACTCCCACAATCCCACGCTCGTATACAGTGTCATCAAGCTACGCCTTTGTTATTGTGTTGAATTACCGACCTCTAGTGGTGAAACTTACATACTGCGCCTTTAATGTCGGAAAAATCTACAAAATGACAAAAAAATACAGAAAATGTCATGTATAATATGTTATAATAATATATAAATGATACTAGAATAACACTTAGTGACACACCAGAGTGATGGATGTTACAGGGTCAGAATAAAAGACGTGATACAAAAAACAGGATGATAAACAACATTAACACAAGCGGTTTAATGCAGTTAACTCATACATCTATTGCTGTGTCTCCACAGGTTGCACTTGTGTTCCCGAACAACGATCCGGTGATGTTTATGGTGGCGTTTTACGGATGTCTGCTGGCAGAGCTGGTGCCGGTGCCCATAGAGGTGCCACTCACTCGAAAGGTGTTGATCAGCACACACACAACACTATCACTAGAGCCGGATAATACACCACCTGATGTCCTCTCACACCCTCATTATTATCCTTAAAAACCAGCATTGCATTACCAAAACTGGAAACACAATTGGTATAAGTATAAAAAAAAACATGCTGCTAGTCAAATGATCATGTTGCTGTAACCCTCTTCCTTCCCTCGGGTCATTTTGACCCGAAACTCATTTTTTAAAAACATTTAAAAGTGTTCATCGGAGGATCCAAGACCCTTGGAGTTTTGTCGCACTTGAACCATGAATACACACAACATTTTTTTGAATGGTTGAAATTTTAAAAAGTAACAAATCCTTCCCTCATGGGTCAATTTGACCCCCATAGGAATGTGAGGAATGCTTCAGTACACTTATAAAAACCTAAAATTCCTCAAAATTTTAACTGAAAAATGCTAAAACTTTAGCAAAAAAATAATTGTATAATGTCTACATGTGTATCTGAATGCATCCGAAGGGAAGCTGACTTTAGGACCCAGAGGAACAGCTCATTTGCTCCATATATACTAGAGCTATAAGGCCGGCTAATGCTTTCAAATCAAGGCCACAATAACAATTCAATTTCAATTCAATAGCTTTTTATTGTCATTCAACTGTACATTTAGAGTGCACATATGAACGAAATTCTCATAAAAATATAATAAAAAATGCTACAACGTGCATTAAAGTATAACACTAAAAAGAGTTTGACAGCAGCATATAAATAATGATATTGCACATGGTAAGTGGTGGCTTATAAATACAGTTATTCCACATTATAAATAAATACTATTATTGCAATAACCCAGTCCAGTTCACATGAGGCTCACTGCGTAGGATTCAGTGAGATAAAGTGGTTAGGGGATTATTTTGAGAGAGAGTGTGAGTTTTTGAGTTCACACAGAGAGAGAGAGAGAGTGAGTGCTGTGTGTGTGACTGTCTCTCGCCCCTCCTCAGGACGCCGGCGGGCAGCAGGTGGGCTTTCTGCTGGGCAGCTGCGGGGTCACGCTGGCTCTGACCACTGATGCCTGTCAGAAGGGCCTTCCTAAAGCTCAGACCGGGGAAGTGGTCACTTTTAAAGGTGGGTCATTAATACAAGCCAGTTACTACTTCTTCATTTAAAGGGATAGTTCACCCAAAAATGTTCACCCTCATGTCGTTCCAAACCCGTGAGACCTTCATTCATCTTCAGAACACAAATGAAGATCTTTTTGATGAAATCTGTTGACGTAGTGTAAACAGCGAAGCGCTTCTGGGTTACACGTCAGAACGTTGGATCATTATTGGCCGACGCTGGTCATGTGTGTGACGACCCAGGAGCTCGAAAATATCTTCATTTGTGTTCTGAAGATGAATGAAGGTCTCACGGGTTGAGGGTCTGTAGTTAATGACTGAATTTTCATTTTTGGGTGAACTAACCCCTTAATGGTGCTGTTTCTAAGCCTCAGGTGTGTGTGTGTGTGTGTGTGTGTGTGTGTGTGTGTGTGTGTGTGTGTGTGCATGTGTGTGTGTGTGTTCACAGGCTGGCCTCGACTGCTGTGGTTTGTCACGGATGGAAAGCATGTTGTGAAGCCTCCTAAAGACTGGCATCCTCCGATACGAGAAGCCGGTGATGAGATCGCGTATATCGAGGTCAGAGTCCAGTCACACACACACACTCACTCACACACACACTCACACACTCACTCACTCACTCACTCACTCACTCACTCACTCACTCACTCACTCACTCACTCACTCACTCACTCACTCACTCACTCACTCTCTCTCTCACTCACTCACTCACTCACTCACTCACTCACTCACTCACTCACTCACTCACCCACTCACTCACACACTCTCTCACTCTCTCACTCACTCACACACTCACTCACTCACTCACTCACACACTCACTCACTCACTCACTCACTCACACACTCACTCACTCACTCACTCACTCACTCACTCACACACTCACTCACTCACTCACTCACTCACTCACTCACTCACTCTCTCTCTCACTCACTCACTCACTCACTCACTCACTCACTCACTCACTCTCTCACTCACTCACTCACTCACTCACTCACTCACTCACTCACTCACTCACTCACTCTCTCTCTCACTCACTCACTCACTCACTCACTCACTCACTCACTCACTCACTCACTCTCTCTCTCACTCACTCACTCACTCACTCACTCACTCACTCACTCACTCACTCACTCACTCACTCACTCACTCACTCACCCACTCACTCACACACTCTCTCACTCTCTCACTCACTCACTCACTCACTCACTCACTCACTCACTCACTCACACACTCACTCACTCACTCTCTCACTCACTCACACACTCACTCACTCACTCACACACTCACTCACTCACTCACTCACTCACTCACACACTCACTCACTCACTCTCTCACTCACTCACTCACTCACACACTCACTCACTCACTCTCTCACTCACTCACACACTCACTCACTCACTCACTCTCTCACTCACTCACTCACACACTCACTCACTCACTCACTCTCTCACTCTCTCACTCACTCACTCACTCACTCACACACTCTCTCTCTCACTCACTCACTCACTCACTCACTCACACACTCACTCACTCACTCTCTCACTCACTCACTCACTCACTCACTCACTCACACACTCACTCACTCACACACACACTCACTCACTCACTCACTCACTCACTCACTCACTCTCTCACTCACTCACACACTCACTCACTCACTCACTCACTCACTCACCCACTCACTCACACACTCTCTCACTCTCTCACTCACTCACTCACTCACTCACTCACTCACTCACTCACACACTCACTCACTCACTCTCTCACTCACTCACTCACTCACTCACTCACTCACTCACACACTCACTCACTCACTCTCTCACTCAC